TGCAGAGATTTGCCAACCCTAGCATATTTCAACTTGACTGTGACTGCTTTTGTGGGGCAAGAGGCCAGAAAATTAAAGTCCAGGGCTCAGGGCAACACCTGTGGCTCAAGGAGTAGGGTGCCAGCCCCATATACCGGGGGTGGTGGGTTCAAGACCGGCCCTGGCCAAAACTGCAAAATAAATAAAGTCCAGGGCTCACACCAAGTGGGAGATCTTCCCCACAATAATTTTAGATCTCATCAAAGTCCACCAATAGTATGCTAGTAAATGTTTAACAACCAGCTCCAGGTAAGGTTGAAAAAGGAGGATCCTAAAGTACACAGCATTTGCTAATTTCCATATGTCACTAAACACAGAGCTGGAAGGACACGCCTACAAGACAGGTGCACCACATCACTGACTCTACTCTTAAGTGAACCAGTCTTACAAAATTAAATACCCTATATTTTTATCACCTGGGTGGTTAGGGAACCACTGGCCCTGAACTTAAATTTAGGTTGTCCTGGACTAGCGGTGGGTAACCTAAGGAACCTGGCAGAAACAAATGTAAATCATCTCTAGAGAAAACTTTGTTCCTATAATTTTCTTTATTTTTTTTAAATTTTTTTGGGGGGACAGAGTCTCACTTTGTCACCATTGGTAGAGTTCAGTGGCCTCATAGCTCACATCAACCTCAAACTCTTGGGCTCAAGCGATCCTATTGCCTCAGCCTCCCAAATAGCTGAGCTACAGGTGCCCGCCACAATGCCCAGCTATTTTTTTGTTGTAGTTGTAGAGACTATTTTTTTTTTTTTGGAGACAGAGTCTCACTATGTCACCTGTGGTAGAGTGCCATGGTGTCATAGCTCACGGCAACCTCAGACTCTTGGCTTAAGCGATTCTCTTGCCTCAGCCTTCCAAGTGCTAGGATTACAGGTGTGAGCCGCTGTGCCTGACCTATATTCCTATAATTTTAACATACAATTTCCAGCATGGTCAAAGAGAACCAGACAGATAACAAGAAACTATGACACCATGAGGGCGGCGCCTGTGGCTCCATGAGTAGGGTGCCAGCCCCATATGCTGGGGGTGGCAGGTTCAAACCTGGCCCTGGTCAAACTACAACAACAACAAAAATAGCCGGGTGTTGTGGCAGGCACCTGTAGTCCCAGCTACTTGGGAGGCTGAGGCAAGAGAATCGCCTAAGCCCAGGAGCTGGAGGCTGCTGTGAGCTGTGATGCCATAGCACTCTACCAAGGGCAACAAAGTGAGACTGTCTCAAAAAAAAAAAAAAAAAAAGAAAAAGAAAAATATGACACTACGAGCAAGAACTAGCAGAAACAGACCCTCATATACTTCAATGTTAGAACCATCAGACACAGGCTATAAAACAACTGTGCTTTGTTGAAGGAAATTTAAAAATATCTGCAGGGGGCTCTGTCCCCATAGCTCAGAGGCTAGGGCACCGGACACATACACCAAACAACAGTGACAACTACAACAAAAAAATAGCTGGGCATTGTGGGGGGGCGCCTGTAGTCCCAGCTACTTGGGAGGCTGAGGCAAGAAAATTGCTTAAGCCCAAGAGTTTGAGGTTGCTGTGAGCTGTGATGGCACAGCACACTACCAAGGGCGACATAATGAGACTCTGTCCCAGAAAAAAAAAAAATATCTGCAAGGACAGGAAGCTATTAAAAGTGGCAGATTTAGGCTTAGCGCCCATGCTCGGGGGTTAGGATGCTGGCCACATACACTGGGACTGGTGGGTTCAAACCCAGCCTGGGCCTTCTAAACAATAATGACAACAACAACAAAAGAGCTGGGTATTGTGCTGGGCGCCTGTAGTCCCAGCTACTTGGGAGGCTGAGGCAAAAGAATCACTTAAACCCAAGAGTTTGAGGTTGTTGTGAGCTGGGATGCCTGTGATGCCACGTCCCTCTACTGAGGGTGACATAGTGAAACTCTGTCTCAAAAAAAAAAAAAAAAAGAATTTATAAAGATGTAAAAGAATTTATAAAAAAGATTTATAAAGAATATTTGAGGAAAGCTTTATGGTTTCATCAGAGATGAAAAACATAAACACCTTTAGGAGCCAGACAGGTGACACACATAAAGTAGCTGGGTGAGTACACTGGTGACCTGGAGAACTTTGTCTAAAGGGCAGAGAATTTTGTCTGTATCCTCAGTTATAGCCGATGGGTGCCATGTGGTACTGGGAGTCCTGTATGCAGCTCTTTTGCTATTTCCAGAGAAGTTGGATATTTGAATTTCTTTTTATTGTGTCAAATATACATATGATTGACTACTGCAGCCATTTAAAAAGTGTACAATTCAGTAGCATTAAGTACATTCACAATATTCTGCAACTATCACCACTAACTCATTCCAGAGCTTTTTCATTACCCCAAAAGAAAACACCATACCTAGCTGGACATGGTAGCTCACACCTGTAATCATAGCACTCTGGGAGGCTGAGGTGAGAGGATCCCTTGAGCTCAGGAATTTGAGATCATACTGAGCAAGTGCAAGACCCCGACTCTATTAAAAATAGAAAAATTAGCTGGGTGTTAGGGTGAGCGCTCCCTGTAGTTCCAGCTACTCAGGAGGCTGAGGCAGGAGGATGACAAGCCCAGGAATTTTTTTTTTTTGAGACAGAGCCTCAAGCTGTCACCCTGGGTAGAGTGCCGTGGCATCACAGCTCACAGCAACCTCCAACTCCTGGGCTCAAGAGAGTCTCCTGCCTCAGCCTCCCAAGTAGCTGGGACCATAGGCGCCTGCCACAACGCCTGGCTATTTTTTGGTTGCAGCCATCATTGTTGTTTGGTGGGCCCGGGCTGGATTCGAAACTGCCACTTTAGGTGTATGTGGCTGGCGCCTTAGCCACTTGAGCCACAGGTGCTGAGCCAAACCTAGGTTTTTGAGGTTACTGTGAGGTGGGCTGACGACATGGCATTCTAGTCTGGGGAACAGAGTGAGACCCTGTCTCAGAAAAAGAAAAAAATAAAATAAAATCCCATACCCATTAGCAGTCACTTCTGTCCCTTCCACCCCCTGCCTCTGGCAACCACCAAGCTGCATTGTCTCCATAGATAGCTCATGTAAGTGAAATCACATGTTTGTCCTTTTGTGACTGGCTTCTTTCATTTACTTAGCATGGTTTGTTTGTTTGTTTAGATACAGGGTCTCACTGTGTTGCCTGGGCGAGAGGGTAGTGGCATGATCATTAGCTCTCTGCATCTTCCAACTTCTAGGTTCAAGTAATCCTCCCACCTCAGCCTCCCAGAGTGCTAGGATTATAGGCCTGAGCCACCACACCTGGCTACACTTAGCATGTTTTTAAGGTTCAGCCATGTTGTAGCATGAATCAGTACTTCCAGTAAGCATGTATTCATTCCCTTTTGTGGCTGAATAATATTCCATTGTGTGGATATACACATGTATCCATTCATCACCTGTTTGACATGGTATCTTCCTATTTTAAATTCAAATATATATTTTTAAAAGTTCTGTGCAGGAGGCTGGGTGCACTCAGGAGTTCAAGACCAGCCTAAGCAGAGCAAGACTTTGTCTTAAAAAAATTAGCTGGACATTGTGCCAGGTGCTTGTAGTTTCAGCTACTTGCGAGGCTGAGGCAAAAGGATCACTTGAGTCCAAGAGTTTGAGGTTGCTGTGAGCTATGACACCATAGCACTCTACTGAGGGCGACAAAGTGAGACTCTGTCTCTAAAAAAAAAAAAAAAAGAGTTCTGTATAGGCCAGGCACAGTGGCTCACGCCTATAATCCTAGCACTCTGGGAGGCCAAGGTGGGTGGATTGCTTGAGCTCAGGAGTTTGAAACCAGCCTGAGCAAGAGCGAGACTCTGTCTTTACTACAAAATAGAAAAACTGAGGCAAGAGGATTGCTTGAGCCCAAGAGTTGGAGGTTGTTGTGAAGTATGATGAAGCCATAGCACTCTACCCAGGGCAATAGCTTGAGACTGTCTCCAAAAAAAAAAAAAAAAGTTCCAAATAATCCAAAGCACAAATTTGTTGGCCAGATACAGTCAAGATGGTCAATAGTGTAAGTTTTCTGTTTTATGACCTGCTATTATGTATTTTCCCATTAGATCTTCAGAATGCTTCTCTAAGGTATCTTCATTTTTCACATCAGGAGCTTGTGCTTCAGAATGGTAAGGAGATATGCTTAGGAAAGGGTCTCCATTCTCTCCATTTTCCCAGTAGTTTTTCCCCAAAAGGCCAAAACCTCAGGAGGATCTGCCTGATACTAGAATGAGTGGGAGTCAGATTTACCCTATGGCTGCAACCTTGAACTTCCCTAAGATTCAGTTCCCCCACTGAACTGAAATGACTAGTGTTGGGCTTGTTTATCTCGCAGCAGTGGCCTTGGTCACATCAAGGCCAGTGCATCATTCTGGGCGGGCACTGGCTCTAGCCAAGTCAGCTTCACTGCAGCTGAACACAAGATGAGGCTCCTGGCTTATCCTGATAATTGTAGATTCTTCCACAGTTCTGGTCTGAGGCCTAATTGGGAGGAAACAACCTCATTAGTCCTCCTGGTAGATCTGATCAGTTCATCTTACCTGCTGGGGTCATTTGTGCAGTAGCAGCACGTGGTCTGAGCCTGGTACTTAAATCAGGAGTGGCTTAAGGTTAAATTGCAGTTTTCCAGCAAATCCCAGCAAAGGCCCCCTTGCCTTATATATGGCAATTCCTGGCTCTGCTATGATGCTGATAACCATTGAGCTTTTCCTGCGCAGAAAGCTATTTAATAAGCAAGGTCCAAAGTCTCCTGGGCTCGGCCTCACTGCAGGCACCTTTCCTTACCATCCCACTTTTTCAAAAGTACAAATCATGGGGGAGGCGACGTCCTAGCTCGCGTATTAACAAGGGGCAGCGGGCCAGCAGAGATGCGCGTTTCTTAACTCTTTCCAAGAGCACCTCGCGCCGCCTTCAACTCTGAGAAGTCAAGAGCCCCACAGGAAACTTGCATTATTGCAGGCGCTGCTGCCACATACCCGTGCCAGGGACGGCGACCGAGCTGGCTCCCAAGGAATGCGCCCCCTCCACCTCCGGCCGCCCAGCCAGCGCGCCGTCCCCCGGGGACCCCTCGGCACCTGCGGCCTCCGAGTAAGTGTCCGCGCGCACGTCCGCACGCCCGCCCCCTCCCGGGCCCACGAGCCGGAGGTTGCCGGACGACCCCCTCCGCCTCTCCGGGAAAGGGTCCGGGGTGTCCCCCTGGGCGGCTGGAGAGGCTCCGGGACACTGCCCAGCGGCCGCGACGCCCGGAGGCCGCACTGCCGGCGCCCGCGGCGGCGCTGCTCCCCCTGCGCGGTGCAGCTGCCGCCCGGCGCTTGCGCACTGGGCCCCGGGCGCGCGGCGGCACCAGGCTTTGTGTGTATGTGTGTGTGTGTGAGTGTGTGTGTGTGTGAGAGAGTGTGTGTGTGTGAGTGTCTGTGTGTGTGAGTGAGTGAGCGGGCGGGCGGGCGCGAGTGTGGCCGCCGCGGAGCGCGAGCAGGACCCGGCGGGCGCGCTCCCCAGCCTCTCTCTCCCCGCCAGAACCATGTCGGGCAGGTCGGTTCGAGCCGAGACCAGGAGCCGGGCCAAAGATGATATCAAGAGGGTCATGGCGGCTATCGAGAAAGTGCGCAAATGGTAAGCGGAGGCGCCTGCTCTCTCGCTCGCTGCTCGGCGCCGCGGCCGCCCAGAACCTACGAGCCAATACAAAAAGCCGCGGGGCGCAACGCCCCAGCCGC